TATCCACAAACAAAAATAATCCTGTAGCTTCACCCCTTGGATCAATATCTTCCTCCCAATTTGAATTGTTCCCATTTCCTACAGCAGAACCCCCTTTGTTTAGAGACACTTCCAGCCCCAGGAAGGGAATAACTGCTGTAATTGCAGTGGAATAACTGTTGTTATCCCAGTGAAATGCAAACTGCTGCAATTGCAGTGGAATAACTGTTGTTATCCCAGTGAAATCAAAACTGTAATTGCAGTGGAATAACTGTTGTTTTTCCAGTGAAATGCAAACTGCTGCAATTGCAGTGCAGTAAGTGTTGTTATCCCAGTGAAATGCAAACTGCTGCAATTGCAGTGGAATAACTGTTGTTTTTCCAGTGAAATGCAAACTGCTGTGATTGCAGTGCAGTAACTGTTGTCATCCCAGTGAAATCAAAACTGCTGTAATTGCAGTGCAGTAACTGCTGTTATCCCAGTGAAATGCAAACGTTTGTAATTCCAATGAAGTGCCAACTGCTGTGATTGCAGAGCTGTCCCAGGGAGGGTGCATGAGCTCGTTCCGCTGGAACGGGGGCGGGGATTTCAAGGGCCGCAAATGGGACACGGACCTTCCCACCGACTCCTCGGTGAGTTCCAGCCCCCCTGGGGCCCAGGGAATTCTGCATTTTGGGGGAGGGTGAGGAGGGAGCGGCCAGGAAGCCTTGGAGGAGCACGGGGAAATCAGAAAATGGGGCTTTGCTGCTGGATAATGAAAAGAGATTCCATTGCTGGAAGTGGAAAATCAGCCTTGAGATAGGATTTGATTTTCTGGTTGGAATGGTTAAATGTTTGGAATTGTCCAGCTGTGGAGCAGCTCTGAGTGTCCTGATAAACAGGAACAGCTCAAAAGTGCAAATGAAGAAGTTTTGACATTAATTTTAATTAGAAAAAAACCCACAATTTCACATTTTTCTTAATTGTGGTTAATACAATGCTGTGAGCTCCAAGTGCATCTCACAGATTTTTTAAGATTTGTGGCTTTTTTTTTTTAGCAAATCCTCTTCTTCCTGTCAGACAGCTCCTGTTGGGTATAAGGAACACAGAGAGCACCAGATCACAGCTAATTTGCTGCTGTTACCCACACAAAATATTGAGAACTCTCCAGAAAGGGTTGAGACAACCCTCACTCAGGCTGCCCTTGGTTTTCTGGATGTTCATCCCAGGGCTTTGTTTCACAATTCTGGCCTTCCTGAGATTGTGGCCAGCCCAGACTTGGCAGTGATTTCCATGAGGGAAAGGGGGAAGGTTCCTGGCTGGGTTTGGGGTGGGCAGAGCTGCTTTCTGAGCTCTGCTGTTCTCAGCCAGTCTGAAATTGGGGATTCAGGCCTGGAGCTGCTCCTCAGCCTGGGCTAAGGCAGCACTAGCAGAGACTGGGATTGACCCCTGGGGCCACGGGAGGAAGCTGTGCTGGGTTTTTGGGGTCCTTTCAGTGAGGTTTGGCTGTGTTTGCCCAGATCCTGATGCACGTGTTCTGCACCTACCTGGACTCCAGGCTCCCCCCTCACCCCAAATATCCCGATGGCAAAACCTTCACTTCCCAGCACTTCATCCAGACTCCAGACAAACCAGGTATGGGCTGCCCTGCAGCTGCTCTGCTCCTCTGGGCTCACAGCAGCACCTCTAAATCTGGTTTTTGTTGTTTTTTTAATGAATTTTGAATTCAGACACTTCAAACGAAAACGTGTTCTGCATCTACCAGAGCAGCATCAACCCTCCCCACTACGAGCTGATCTACGAGTGCCACGTCTACAGCCTGCCCAAGGTACAGGGCCTGGTCCTGCTGCTCTCAGGGGTCACTCCCAGGGCTGCTTTGGGCTCTTTTTAAATCCTGGACAATTTCTGTGCATTGGCACAGGGACTGGGCCAGCTTGGGCTTTGCCCAGCACGTGGTGCTTCCTCTGCTGCTGAATTCTGCCTGTGCTGGTTGGGAGACAGCATCTTCCTCTTATGAATTCTGTGCCAATTGATTGTAAAACCCCAAATCACACTCCCTGGTGTCACTGATGTCACCCCCTGAGGCCAATGCAAGTTCCAGCCTAGGAAAACTCTGAGATTTTGTCAATGCATTTCTGTGCATTGGCACAGGGACTGGGCCAGCTTGGGCTTTGCCCAGCACCTGGTGCTTCCCCTGCTGCTGAATTCTGCCTGTGCTGGTTGGGAGACAGCATCTTCCTCTTAGGAATTCTCTGCCAATTTATTGTAGAACCCCAAATCACAATCCCTGGTGTCACTGATGTCACCCCCTGAGACCAATGCAAGTTCCAGCCTAGGAAAACTCTGAGATTTTGAATTGTTTTGATTTCTAAACCCTCGTGTCTCTGTCTGTGGCTCCAGGGCAGGAACAACATGTTCCACACCTTGCTGATGTTCCTGTACATCATAAAGACAAAGGAATCTGGGATGCTGGGGTAGGTATCCCATGGAACAAGATGGGTGATAATTAATGGTGCTAAAATCGAATTAACTGCAGCTTTTAATTAGAAATGGCTAATTGTGATCCCTCTGGCTTTGCAGGCGTGTCAATCTGGGATTGTCAGGAGTCAATGTGCTGTGGATCTTTGGGGAGTAGTGGGAGCAGCCCTGGAGGGATCAGCTGGGACTGAATCGTGGATTTGCTGCCAAGCAGGACAAGTAAAGCTCAGCAATGTGGGCAGGAGGAAGTGCCTGAGATTGCCTGTGGATTTTGTCAGGGCATCACAAAGAGAATTTCACTGGGCAGGAGTTCTCCTTGCTGCTCCTCACCCCAGCCAGTCCTGCTTGAACTGAGCTTTGCTGATCTCAGACCAACCCAAACCAAACCAGACCAACCCAACCCAAACCAAACCAAACCAACCCAAACCAGACCAAACCAAACCAAACCAAACCAAACCAACCCAACCCAAACCAACCCAACCCAACCCAAACCAAACCAACCCAACCCAAACCAAACCAACCCAACCCAAACCAGACCAACCCAAACCAACCCAGACCAACCCAACCCAAACCAAACCAAACCAACCCAAACCAACCCAACCCAAACCAACCCAACCCAACCCAACCCAACCCAAACCAACCCAAACCAAACCAACCCAAACCAAACCAAACCAACCCAACCCAACCCAAACCAGACCAACACAAACCAACCCGACCCAAACCAAACCAACCCAACCCAACCCAAACCAGACCAACACAAACCAACCCAACCCAAACCAAACCAACCCAAACCAAACCAAACCAACCCAACCCAAACCAACCCAGACTAAACCAACCCAAACCAACCCAACCCAAACCAACCCAACCCAACCCAAACCAACCCAAACCAAACCAACCCAAACCAAACCAACCCAACCCAGACCAACCCAAACCAACCCAACCCTTTGAAGGTGCAGCTGGAACAGCCTCCCCAAGGCTGTGCACAGCTCTGAGCACTTGGAGGGATAAAACAACTTGGACAACTTCAGCATCCAAGAAATTCCCAGTCTGGAAAGCTCAGACTCAGTTTTGCTTCATTTTATTCTGCATGATAGAAAGCAATTAATTTTATCCCTGATTATTGGTGTAATTGTGATTCCTGAGCCCTCAGGATGTTCCTGCAGCTGAAGAGGAAAGACAAAACCATGTTTGTCTTGCTGAGTTCAGCAAATAAGAATTTTACTTCTATTTTTAATTTTTGTTTTCATTGTTTTGTACAAAACCAGCGTGGCCTCCCCTCTTCAGGGGCCTTGAGAGCTCTTCACTGCCAGCAGCTCTCACCTGCTTTTGCTTTTGAATTTCATTTTCCTTCAGCTTTTTTCACTGATCACCACCAAATTTGGGAGCTTTGTGCACCTTGGTGGGACACCAGGCCCTACACTCCCACAGGTTTTTGGGAATCTCCCTTTTTTGGTGAAAGCTCTTGGATTTGCTTCAAAGAAAGGATCAATCAATATTTGTCAAATGTCTCCAGGGGGCAGGGGGAGGATTTGTTGTGAATTCTGGTCAAGGAGTATTTTAGAGGTGTCTGTAGGACCATGAACACGTGGAATCATTGTACTGTATTTTTTACTGAGGGGAGGGAAGGAGGAATTTTTGGAACTTTGCTGTTTTTTGGTGTGAACTGAGTGGTTTTGGGGACTCTGTCTCTCCTCCCTGAGAGACCTGGGTTTTTCCAAGAACTGGTAACAAAACAGCTCATTTGGTTCTTGTATTAAATGAGTTTGGTTTATCCAACACTTTTTGGGGTTTTTCTTGTGTTCAGCATGACCCCATCCATCCGTGTCCCACAGAGGAAAGCTCAAGAACCAGATTTAGCTGGGTTTCACCCCAAAACTCCCCTTCAAGGGCAGCAGAGCCCCATGAGCTCTGTTAGTGTCACATTCTAAAAACCTGAAGTGCAGAAATGCCTTTGTTCACCAAAAAGTGGGGATCCATCCCATAGAGCACCCTTGGGTGCCCTGGGCTCTGCAGCCCCAGGACCCTGCACGGTTTTGGGGTTCCCAGGATCCTGCACAGCCTCTTCCCACACAGCCCCCACGTGGATCCTTTTGCACCCCAAAGGATCAGAGCCCAGTCCCTCTGTACCCCAAAGGATCACAGAGCCCCATACCCCAAAGGATCAGAGCCCGATCCCTCTGCACCCCAAAGGATCAGAGCCCAATCCCTCTGCACCCCAAAGGATCACAGAGCCCAATCCCTCTGTACCCCAAAGGATCAGAGCCCAATCCCCCTGCACCCCAAAGGATCAGAGCCCAATCCCTCTGCACCCCAAAGGATCAGAGCCCAATCTCTCTGCACCCCAAAGGATCAGAGCCCAATCTCCCTGTACCCCAAAGGATCAGAACCCAGTCCCCCCGCACCCCAAAGGATCAGAGCCCGATCCCTCTGCACCCCAAAGGATCAGAGCCCGATCCCCCTGCACCCCAAAGGATCAGAGCCCAATCCCTCTGTACCCCAAAGGATCAGAGCCCTGCACCCCAAAGGATCAGAGCCCAGTCCCTCTGTACCCCAAAGGATCAGAGCCCAATCCCCCTGCACCCCAAAAGATTAGAGCCCAGTCCCCCTGTACCCCAAAGGATCAGAGCCCAATCTCCCTGTACCCCAAAGGATCACAGAGCCCAGTCCCTCTGCACCCCAAAGGATCAGAGCTCAGTCCCCCTGCACCCCAAAGGATCAGAGCCCAATCTCTCTGCACCCCAAAGGATCAGAGCCCGATCCCTCTGCACCCCAAAGGATCAGAGCCCAATCTCCCTGTACCCCAAAGGATCACACATCCCAATCCCCCTGCACCCCAAAGGATCAGAGCCCAATCTCCCTGTACCCCAAAGGATCAGAGCCCAATCCCCCTGTACCCCAAAGGATCACAGAGCCCGATCCCCCTGTACCCCAAAGGATCAGAGCCCAATCCCTCTGTACCCCAAAGGATCAGAGCCTGATCCCTCTGTACCCCAAAGGATCAGAGCTCGATCCCTCTGTACCCCAAAGGATCAGAGCCCAATCCCTCTGTACCCCAAAGGATCACAGAGCCCAATCCCCCTGTACCCCAATACTCTGCTTCACACCCCTCAGCCCCTGTGCACCCCAATGCATCACACACCACAACACATGACACTGCTCAGTCCTTCTGCACCCCAATACACTGTGCACCCCAATAGATCACACCCCTCAGTCCCTGTGCACCCCTATACACTGTGCACCCCAATAGATCACACATCCCAGTCTTTGTGCACCCCAATCTTTGTGCACTCTGCTCCCTGTACACCCCAATACATCACAAACCCCACTCTCTGTGCACCCCAATATATCCCACACCCCAGTCAGGCCCTGTGCCCCCCAATTCCCATCCACCCTGCTCCCTGTGCACCCCAGCACATCACACACCCCAAAGCATTCTGCACCCCCAGTACAGACCCCAAATTCCTGTGTACCCCAGTGCTGGTGTCCCCTGACACCCTGTGCACCCCAAATTCATCGTGCACCCCATTCCTGCTCATGTTCTGCACCACAGCCCCTGCTCTCCCTGTGCACCCCCTCCTTGTGCACCCCAACACTGCACAGCCCCTGTTCCCCCTGTACCCCAACACTGCACAGCCCCTGTTCCCCATGTACCCCCTCCTTGTGCACCCCAACACTGCACAGTCCCTGCTCTCCGTGCACCCCAACACTGCACACCCCCTCCTTGTGCACCCCAACACTGCACAGCCCCTGCTCCCCCTGTACCCCAACACTGCACAGCCCCTGCTCCCTGTGTACCCCAACACTGCACACCCC